CGCAGGGAAAGCAGAGAGAATGCAATCTTCACCCCCCACGCGCGAATTATACATCGGCGGATGGTAGGGTGTCGTTGCTGCGGAGCCATGAATCGCGATGATGGCCCCACGGTGCGGCCCTCCACCCCGCCACCCCTTCCACACTCGCGGATAATCAATCGTCGTAACACCGCTCGGTGATTCCACCGACGCCAGGAACGACGCGTTTTGCGCCTGGATGCGGGGATAACAGGGTATAGGCGTAGAGAGAGGAGAGTGGTGGATAGGATAGGGTATTCGGTTCGACGTGTGGCCTGGAGGACACGCGTTCGTCGGGATTGTAAAAAAAACAGCCGGGTGCGAGGTTCTCGTCACGGGACTGAGGTGACGGGGATGGTTCTTCGTGAACGGAGGATAAAGAGAGAGATAGAGAGGAACGGAACGGAGAGACGCTGGCAGACGCGCCGCCCCTGGAGACATTTTACGGTGCCAGTCCGCGAATGGCCATGAATGTTGAATACCATCGACGAATATGGAGCCATTAAGATCGTCCAGGATACGCGTGAACGGTGCCCCATCCCTCGGATGATACGTGGCCATCGACAACCACCGGCGTGAACCGCTCGTTCTGCACGTCGCTCGCCGGACCACGCTGACATTCGTGCTGAATTAGCGCGCTCGTGCGCGCTCCTCGTGTGTGTCTGTGTGTGCGTGTGTACGCGTGTGACTGTGTGTGTGTGCTGTGCCTGCGTGTACACGTACGTGCTCGCGCTTGTATACGTGTAGTGTTTACCGGGTACTGTTCCGCGAGAACTATACAACATGATAGAGCACGAGGTGACGTGCACCGAAGCGAGTCGCTTCGAAATTGACCATGATCCTGTGAGATTAGATAAGTGACACTGACGAATTCACCGGGAGGAAGTCGATAGAAGTTTAATAAATGAAATTCTCCGATATGAGAACGCTGTATGAATCTTTCAAGTGTCCAGTCGCAAGAGATTCCGGGGGTAGTTCGATGGATCGGTCCGAATCGTTTCGGTGGATAGAATAAAGCCGGCTCACTGAGCGGAGGACACGTAGCACGCGTGCTACCCACCTGCGATGGAGCCCGAGTGTTTGGAGCCCCTAAACCTGGTGATAAAGAAGGACGACGTGGACGAGATCGAGGGCACCGGGACCGAGGGACCGATCGGCAAGATCGACGAGGAGAAAGCCGAGGAGAGGATCGACGAGAAGATGACGATACTCCAGGAGGCGGTGAAGGCTGGCGAGGCCGGCTTACCCGCGGCCGATCACAAGATCCTGACCGCGCTCTACATGAGCAGCCTGATGCAGATGTCGAACATGAACGTGCCGAGGAGCGTGACGCCGCCTCCATACGGCGCGCAACACAATTTCGTCCAGATGCTGGCGATGGTCGAGGCGCGACGCATGTGGCAACAGATGAACTGGCCGGTGCCGCAAAACTTCCACAGGAATCCGCTCGCGATCCCGCAGCCGTATTTCGACGGGCCCGGGTCGAACCTGGCCGAGCAGCTATGCAACACGCAGAACTCAGCACCAGCCTATCCTTTGTCCTGCACGAAACCCGAGCAACCCATGAACCACGACACGAAGCAGCCTTATTTCAAACGGTACACGCCACCGGCGTGACGGACCTCTTGATCCCTCCTGCATCCCTTTCCGAAACTCCTCTCGGTGGACCGTGTCCGACGTTACGTACGATATACACGGTGTCCGCGAAATTGGTAGCTGCATTGGGAGAATCCAATCGTGAGGGTGATAGCTCACGTAAACATAAGGGATTATTTTGTTTTTTCGGGTAGAGGGATTTTAACGTTTCTCTACTGAGAGTCGATGGTCATGTTAATTATGAGGAAATGAATTGTTTCGTATTGTAACGAACGCTATAATTGAGTTAGTTTGTTGTAAGCCCTCTTTTTTCGTCCTTGTGACTGGAATATATCCGAATGTAGCTATTCTTTCAAAGACAGCTTGTATAGTTTACACTGATTATCAGGTTCTATAGTAGTTACGGGATTGAATCGTCAATCTTTTAGGTGTACCAATGAATAATCCAAATTCTGTGTTCATTTCTAGTAGAATTGAAAAGCATTGCTAGCTGAGCAGTGATTGTTTTACGACCTAGTTCGCGAATATATAATTTAGAGTAGAAGATTGAGAAGTCGATTTGATGAAATGGGCTACTTGTTGCTACACCTGATTAATTCGTTATACGTTGATCAAGGCTCATGCTTACTTATTTAGGGGACGCAGAGAGCTACAATGAAGCGTGTTATAAATCGTTTTGTTTCGTTCAACAGGTCTACGGTAGAACAAAAGAACTCCGCGTCGCTGGTGAATCCGGACAACGGAAAGTCTGTCGATTCGTCGCAGCAGAATAACCAAGGTAAGGATCGTTTAATGGACCTGGGCATCCGTGATCAGTTTATCCTATGATTTTCACTGTAGAGGCCACCTCTCATACCATACGTCGATGATGTTTGCACAGATAAAAAGAAACCCCATATAAAAAAGCCTTTGAACGCATTTATGCTGTACATGAAGGAGATGAGGGCGAAGGTCGTGGCTGAGTGTACCTTAAAAGAGAGCGCAGCGATCAATCAAATATTGGGAAGACGAGTGAGTAGCCGGCAAATGTTTCTATCATGAATTTTTCAGATTTCTATTTCGAACGCTTTTACATCAGGGCTATATAAACCGATCTGCTAAATCAATTACTAATGATAGCTTTTATTTATCTTTTGTTTATCTTCATTGTGTTTAAATGTCTAGGTCAATTATGCAGTTAGTTAAAATAGAAAATATATTTTATACACTCTTACCGGACCTGATGAAATTAATAAATTTTGTTTAACGTATTAGAATATTTTTAATTCCTAACGAATCATTTGTTTAACGATTAAATATTTTCAGAGCGATGTCTTTGTCAATGCATTTCTCGAAGTTCATCATGGAAATGTCTTACGATAGCAAGACCGTAGCCCCGATGTAAAAGCGACAGTCACGCGCCACAGTCAAGATTTTCTTCTATTACTTGTTTCTCTTTTTTCAAACTAATTGCCTTTAGTTGATTGGTTTGTGTTACAATCTGGTGAAGCTTTATCGACTGTCTCCAATCACTTTTTCCATTACAAACAACGCCATGTCTCGAAATACATATTTTAAAGGAAGTTACAGCATCGCTAAAGTTGCCGGAACTCCTTTAAAATTCTAACGAATGCAACGGAGCCGATAGCTTCAAAGGACCAGTCGATTAAAGTCAAATTCCAGCAACAGTACCAATACAAATCAGTAAAATGCCAGCAGAAAATGCAATCGACAATTGTCACTCGGCAGATATAACGAGAACGAAAGAAATTCATTTGACAAATCGCTTAGACGTTCGGAAGCAAAATGTTGACTTGGCGACCCAGCAAACTACTATATATTACATTTATCATCCCCAGATATTATAACTCTGTAAAGTTGCATGCGTTTCAAGTACATTCGAAGCACTGATCAAATTTAGTCACGAAGTAAAAGAGAGAGCATCGTAGGTGGGATCTATGGATAAAAAAAATGTCTAGTCTCGGCCGTAGGAGGGTTGGGGCCGTCGATCGGATGGGTGGGTTTTGCGACGAGGACGCCGGTCGCTAGATAAAAGAGTTGCGAGTTTCCG